TATTGAGTTTATGTTAGTATATATTCCACTCAAGCAGTCGCGAGGTAGTATATTTTGAGTTTATGTTAGTATATATTCAGTGTATGTTGCAATATTATAATTCACGCAGCCATGTTAGTATATATTCAGTGTATGTTGCAATATTATAATTCACGCAGCCGCCAGGAGGTATATTTTGAGTTTATGTTAGTACATATTCAGTATATGTACAATAAAAAACAAGTCTTCCAGATAAAAGTTACTTCGGATATACTCGAATATACCCAACATATAACCATAATAAAAAAAATAATTATTAAATAGATAAATAGAGAAAAGTCACTTCGGATATACTCGAATATACCCAACATATACCAACTCGGTTTTGTAAATATACCTTCGAATTATACACTATTCAAATCAGTAACTGTCTACTGACAGTATCAAGATAAGCCCTTCTCACTTCAATCGCACGACCTCGCCTGCCTTTCCCTGCGTCATCTTCTTCTTCGTCTCCGTCCTTGATTGCCTCAAGAACCTGCTTCAGATCCTCCCTCTGTACCACGATCTTCACCCGCCCGCCCTCTACCGCCTTCATCTCGCCGCCGGTGAGCCGCCCGATCGCCTCCAGTATACTATTGCTCGCCGCCGGTTTCTGGACTCTTCCCGTCGATCTCGAGAATCCGGGCACGGGCACTAGATCTTATAACCGGTGAAACATCGCCAACATCTACCGATTCTCTTCGATTAGGATGAGGGAGTTTGGTTTTTGCCATTGATTGTTGAAATGGGCAAAAAAAATTGGGGCGGTTTCTGAAAAAAATTCTGACGGGAGAAGGTGGGGGGCGGTTCTTCACCTTTTTGTTCTTCCACTTTTTTTGGTATAAGATATTTGAAATCCTTTAATTATCTCCTTACCATTAAAAACAGGTTAATAAGTGTTAAGTGGGGATTTTAGGTATATTTGATAATTTTTTAGCTTCTTTAGATAAAAATAAAAATAAGTATATTTGAAGTGGAAAAGTGTAATAAAATTTAAAGGGCAATGTAAGGGGTGCAATTTCCTCATATTTTTTTTGCTATCGGATCAGTTCGATTTTAACTGAATCCTCATGTGGCGGTGCCGCAACCAGACCGGTCGAATGATTTTCCATAATTGGTTATCGGTTACTCTTACAAATTAGTCGATACGGTTCAACTTTTTTTTCTTCAATTTTGTACGATTGTGTATATGCTACATACATGAATGTATTACGTACGAAAGTCAACTAATGCGCATATAATTAGTGTAAAGAACAATATTTGGATTTACTTAACTAATCACATGTAATTAGTGAACAATATTTAGATTTCCTTAACTAATCACGACTTTTTTTAATAATTGCTACGTTATTATTAGTTTGTTTCATTATTATTAAATAAATGGAGTGGTTTGTGATTAGTTGGTGATTTAAGAGGTAGTTATGGTAGTTTCTTCTGCAATATTGATGACAATAAAATAAATTGATTGTAGAAACCGTGAAAAGGAATCTAAATCTTTTGTTTAATCTGTACTAGGATCCTCTCGTTAGTTAGAATATTCGAGCATTTTTTATTTATTTTTTTATTGCTCCTAATTAGGTACCCAATTATAGAGATGTTAAACGGTTCTTGGCCCGACGGGTCAGCCCGTTTAGCCCGAAAAAAAATGTTACAGCTCTTTATTGGTAACATGTTTAAACCAGAGCTTTTTAGGCCCAGACAGTTTAGCCCGAAACCCGTTACGGCTAGCCCGAAACTGCTAGGGCTAGCCCGTTTAACTTGTGTTGGACGATGTAAATGTTTGCGCTAGGTAAAGAATATGCTCCAAGATTCATTGTCTATTAAAATTTTGTTATTCTATTTTACATGTAAGTATAAGCTGTAACGAGTTATTACTATTTTGAAATATAATTTTAGCAATTTTGTTATTCTAGTTCACAAAAAAAATATTTAAGGCAATCAGAACGACTAATAGCTAATATAACACGAATGAGATAAAGAAGTGATAAAATATAAATTCATCAATATGGTACAATATATGCGAAAATAAACCAAACTTGAAGACATAGACTAGCACAGACACTAAGTTAACTTGATTGTTCATGACAAACACTAGATATCCGTTCACAAAGGCTCAATGCAGATCGACTAATAGGCCATGCATATTTAGATTTAGTTAAAACTTAAAAGTTGGCACAGTTTTTTGGCACTATTAGTTTAAATGGTATAAAAATAAGTAAAGATGTAAAGTGGGCAAAAATTGGTTCAAAAGTAAAGGTGGAAATTGGTTGTGACGCTGTTAGAAAAAGTGCTTAAAGGCAACCTAATTGACTGTTAGGCTAAAATCGATTTGTCACATTTTATGAATAAAATTGCATAATTATGTCATCAAATGTTATATTTTTTTCTTTAATGTTATTTTTAAATGTATTACATTTTTTTTAATAAAAATATGAAAATTTAAAAAATATATATATATTTTATTAAAAAATATATATGTCAAGTTGTCAACCCATAATGGAATTGATTACACACGAAGCCTGTAGAAGCGTCTTAATATCTCTATTTTGTCTGACGTCAGACGACCATATATAAATAATTTGGAATGAAGAAGATGACATGTCGCTTTGTTAGGTTAGGCTATCATTAGTTGATCGAATAAATATTACTAAAGTATCCTATTTACCAAAGGTTAAAACGTCAACATAATAATATGAAAGTATCCTATTTATCAAATTTAGTAGGTTAAAAAGTTAATGTAATTAATGCATTGCTATTTTTATTTAGAATTTTATTTAATTATTTTATTTATTTGTCTTATATCTCATAAAATCAGTTTAATAAAAAAAATCTCATAACATCTGATAAGTAAAAAAAAAAAGGACGTAAAATCTTTACTAAAATAAAAAAAGCTTTATTTATTTGTCTTGTTCCATATTAACATCGATTTTGTCAAAACAAATCTCATAAAATTGGTGAAGTCAAAATTTGTATGTAATGTCTATCTATACTAAAAAAATGCAGACTCAAAATTCCTTATCTAATTTATTATTTTCCTTATCTAATTTCTTCTTATTATCTAATTGTATGAAAATTTGTTCTGATTTTGTTCGATCCTCTAATTGTATTTGTACTATATCCCATAAAATCGGT